CTTTATAACAATTTCTCTCATACGAGTACAACACACACAACAGACTACTGTTCACTAAACCCATTTCCTTCCTGCACTTATCTCTTCTCTTGTATCAGATTTCAGTCCTTGCCCACTTTGCTCTTTGCTTCTCACAGCCAATAACAACTCTTGCATTCTCTCAGCAGGTCTCCTGCTTGCATATGCTAATCTCCTCCTTTTGATGGGAAATTATTCTGTGCGGAATCCGGTTATAGAGCAGTGTTCGGATGCTTATGTGGAAAGTTAAAAGTCCGCCATATTTATTTGACTTGCGTATTGATTGAGTATTTATTGCGTATTCGTTGCGTAAAATGTGCGTATTGATTGAGTATTTTATTGCGTATTTATTGCGTATTTATTGAGTATTTGTTGCGTATATGTTGCACATTTTCTGCTTAATTACTGCTTATTTATTATGGATTTCTCTTCGTCTGCAGTAAGTCCGAAAAGCCAAACGGGTCGGATAAGAAGTCAAATGAATATCCTAACTTTCCACATAAGCATGCTATGTGTAATGATTTTACTGGCATCCGAACACAGCTCTATAACCGGATTCCGCACAGAATAATTTATCCCTTTTGATAACCTCTCATTTCTTCTTCCTTTCCACAGCCACAAAATCCCTTCAGCCGCTCACTATCCATACAACACTGTGAACCGATTCTCCTCCCTATGCACTGTGCCGGCTCATATAATAGAAATTCTTTATTTTTTCCAAGTCCGTAACTGCCCACCTTTCTCTATTTATTGCTAGCGAATTCCAAACATAAGGAAAACTGAGAGAGAGGGCCCACACAAATATATAATTGTATTCCAAGTCATTTCTTACCAATATAAGCATCTGTTCTGATAAATATATTAGGAAATACTTAAATTTTTTTTAATAATTGCTATTTCTAATTTAACAGTAATTAATTATTAGAATAAGATAATAATTTTCTTAAATAAAGTTTGAGATTATTACTTGGATTTTGGATCTTACAACTCCCTGATGATGATAGAAGTATTTCAGAATATGTGTTAGTAAGGAGGAGGTCTGTTCAGATTTTCCTTTTTTGTTACACTTTAGATTGACTATAGGGAGATCAAAATGGGGTGTGACGGAATCATGAAAACAAGCTTTTTCAGAAGACTTTTAACTTGAATTTGAATTAAAATTGTCTCGCCCTGCTTTAGTTGTATTCTGATTACTCCTTGAAGTTCGAAGCCTATTGAAGCTTGTTTGTTGGTGTTGCAAGAATTCTTGGTATCTAATTTGCATTGTTCATAATTTCTACGTAATCACAGAGGGCATGCTTTGGGTAGAAGTTAAAATTCTATTTGGGTTGCACTATTGTGAATTATAAAGTTTTAATTTTGCAGTTTGAGCTTTGAAGGAGGCAATTTCACATCAGACACGTTATTTGCACTGTTCTTTGATGCCTTTGCTCGTTGGGTTTATTTGGCTCCATTACATCTCTTTATGTGATGTTATGTTATTAGCAACTATCAACTGTTGGGTTTGGAGGCATCTTTAAATAGCAATTTAAAAAAAAAACATATAAGTTTTACATTGTCAACGTCATAAATGTCAGAAGCACAAAATATTTTTGCTGTGGCTCGTAGTGTAGCATTGTGCACATTTGCACTATTTATAAAACAAAGCATATGAAAGCAATGTAGTGTGGGTTGTGTGCATTGTAGTGCATGTCATGCATAGACCACACTATTTTGTGAGTGATACTTAAGCACTGTGACGTAGAACGGAAATCGCTTTGCTATGGCAAATGGACAAACTCCAAATGTCTCACAAAATCTGAAAATTTTCTTCATGTTTTTATTCAAAACCTGGGAAAAATTCTCAGGTTCCAGTAGATAATGGTCTAGGGAAGATTGAAGGAGAAGCCTAGCCTTAATGGAGAAGAGAAAGACTGAGAAATGTGCCTCAGCTTTCCACAAAAAATCTGAGAGAAAATTCTCAGATTTTAGTGGTTGGGAATAGAAAGCTGAAAGCAAAATCTGTTACAGGTTTTGGGAAATTTCAGCCTGCACTTGAAGAGAAAAGCTCAGGAGAAATTTCCCATCCACTCTTACGGGCTTGAGAAGGAAGTGGGGGAGAAAGAGGGAGGAACGGTGGATTTGGAGAGGAGTAACTGATGGGATTTGTTTCCAAACAAGGGGTTTCCCTTTTGGAATAAATCAAGCAAAACACAAATTCAGCTAGGTGGAGTTACGGGATTATTGAGGAAGTGAAATAGGAATTAATTAGAGATATGGGTGGAGGAGTCAGGAAACGGACCAGAGGAAATTTCGGCCAATTTAGATGAGGGGATATTGAGTACTTCCTAAGTGGGGAATATGGATTTGGAAATAAAATTCTATGATTTATTTGAGGGGCCGGCAGCATATATGTGGTGGGGGGAAATTAATGGGTCCATTAATACTTACTTAATTAATAAGTCAAGATAGGAAAGAAATATTTGATCCTCTCTTGATTTAAAATTCAAATAAGAATTAATTCAAAAATGTTTCCTAAAATAAGACATATAAATATAGTAACTATTTGAAATTCAAATTGATTTGAATTAATTTAAATAATAGTTGCCAAATTTATGCAATCTAATTTAGGAAAGCATGAATGTCATGTGGAGACGGTGGAGGTTGGATGGGTCTAATTTAATTTGGAGGGATTAATGACTCATCTCCTTGCAATTCAAATTTGAATTTTGAATTGGAGAGTTAAAACCTTCCAAATATGGATCAAACCCAAATAGGAAAGATTTCAAATTTGAAAATTGAAATCCAAAATTGTCATGGATTTTCCCTCTCGATTTTGCGAACCCAAATTGGAAGGAGGCATGGCCATGGGAAGATGACAGGTGGCCGGCGGCTTATGGTGGGGACGGAGACGACGATGGTGGACGGAAGTAGAGGAAGAAGATGAAGATAACGACGAAGAGCAATAAGAAGGAACAAAAACAGAGAAACAAAATATCAAAGATACAACCGCGAGCCCGGACACATCCTGCGGCTGACGGGTACTACGTTGCCCTTCTCCAAGGGACTTTACGCCACGAGCCTGGACCCATCCTGCGGCTGGTGGAAACTCCGACTCCCTCCCATAGGGATTTCACTAACGTTCTTCCCAAAGAACCCAAGTGCAAAACACAATTTTTTTTTTATTAATAATCCATCATTCCAATACAAGAGAAGGGGCCTCTATATATAGGCCTCAAGAGAAATTAAAAGACACATTCGCCCCTTAGGCTTACATAAGACAAGAGGGTAAAAAGGAAAATTGCAAAACTAAATTAAAATACAATTAATAAACGAAAATAAAACAAAGTGATCTCGGTCGTCGATCTTCAGCTCCTCCTCGGATTAGCATGGACGGTTGGATGTCCACATCACACTGTCTTTTCCATCCACCAAATAATTATTTATATTATTTTCTTCCTCTATTTCACTTAAATTTTCTATTTGTTAAATGCTTTAGTTGGCTTAATCTAATTTGGTTGGTTGCTAGTAATATTATTTTCAATATTGTTGTTTTAAATTTGTTTGATTATTATTATTATTATTATTCATATTGTTGAAGTTGCAATACTATTATCTTGTTATAAGCTATATTGTTACATTCATTAAACATGTTAAAAAATTTAGCATGAAAATATTATGCCTTAAGCCATCACATATGTTAAAGCAATTTTATGTACTATTTACATTGATATAGATATATATATTTTTTAAATGGATACTTTTTTTCGTATATTATTTATTTTTAAAAAATAGCGCGCTAATATTTCGAAGGACCTTTGCTTTATGACATGTTATTCACTATTTACGAGCCTGGTATGTGTAGATTTCAGTCTATTTAGTGTGGTCAAAGTAATTAATTGAAATGAAAAATCATAATAAACATTGCTCTAAAATAACTTTGCTTTGTCAAAATAATGTTAAACTAAAGACTTTGTATTTGAAAAAATAACATTATTATTGAATAATGTTGCTTTCCGTAGGGTATTGCTTGGTTTAAAGTAATCAGAAGAAGCTTCATTGCAAAATCAACAAAATTTTGAGAGAAGGTTGGAACCTTTTATCTTATTTCTCCTCTCTTTGATTTCCTGGTTACAACTAAGGTGGATCTCTGCTTCACAATGCTTTATCCAACGTTTTGGTTGCTTTATATTATGCAACTTGTTCTCATTTGAATTTGTACCCAAATGGCATCATACCTTCAGATGATCATTGACTATGGTACCTAAATTATGTAAAAGATATGCTTGAAGTATACGTTGTTTGCCTGCATCTCTCGCTATCTCTCTCACAAACACTCGCTCCCTTCCAACCAACCCACCCGTTCTTTAGATAACTTTCTCTGATGTTTGCAACTAAGTTGGCCGGAAAGTCTATCACTCTAAATGAAGGTGGAGGAGATGTTACTATGGCATCAATACTTGGAAAAAATACTTGGATGAAGTTTGGAAAGTAATGTGCATATATTTTTGAGAATTCTTCTTATGATTTCTGACTAGTCTAATCTTTTTAGTGGTATAGGCGTGTTTTTAAACCTCTGTATTTAAACTATCATCAGGATCTTTCTTTGCCGGCTCTCTGTTCTCCTTTGTAACACTGAACTCTAGAGAAAATAGAAGTTCCTTTCTCTTTAGCTATTTATGATATGCAAGTGAGAATATCATATGTTTAGTGATTCTTTTGCAATGCGGCCTTCTTGATAAATTTGTGAATTATGTGCTCACAAAAATCATCTTAGTTGCTACTTAACTGAGCTGGAACTACTTTAAATTGTTTTGATGCTTGAGCTTTTCTCACTATACGTTATTCACATAGTTTCTATGCAATCGCCTTACTGAAGCTGCTTAAGAACTGATTTTGTGGATATTGTTGACCTGAATAGTACATATTTTTTTAATGCATTGATTTTAATACCCAATTTTTAGTTGTTATTTACTATCTATTTTTATTCTTTCACATTTAAGGTTGCTGGCTCTGCATTGATCTTTGAGGTTCAAAGAAGTGCCAGATCAGAAGCACGTAAAGAAGAAGCCCGCAAGCAAGAAATTGAGGTAATTATATAATTCCTTAATTCTTTTGTGGTTCACATTTCACGTATGCAAACTACAAATCACATCTAAACGGGAACATATTTTGCATTATTGACAAACTAGCTGAAAGAGTCTAAGAAAGGAATATGTGAGGCTAGGATTTTAACTTTTAATGATTTATATAATAGATTAAATACTAAGGAGGGAAAAAAATATGTTTAAGTTAGCCAAACAAAGATATAGGAGAAGTAAGGATTTAGTTCAAGTGAAGTGCATTAAGAATGAAGGTAAAAAAAATGCTTTTATTAGAAGATATGCAATAAAGGTGGATGAGATATTTTGCTAAACTATTTAATGAAGATTGTGAGAATAACATCTTAAATAAAAATAAAGATTTTTGTTTTCATTGACGTGTTAGTAAAACTGAAGTTAGAGAGACTTTAAAGAAAATGAAGTGTGGAAAAGCTGTTGGACTTGATAATATTCCAATAGAGGTGTGAAAATGCTTAGGGGATTAAGGAAATTTTTGGCTTATTAAAAATTTTAATATTATTTTGAAGACTAAAATGATGTTAGGTAAGTGAAGAATGGGTGTGTTGATTCATATTTTTAAGAATAATGGTGATGCAAAATATTGTACAAATTATAGAGAAATTAAGTTAATATGTCATACTTTAAAACTATGGGAGAGAGTTATGGAGCATAGGTTGTGGCGTGATTCTAATGTTTCTCAAAATCAATTTGGATTCATATCGGGTAGGTCAACTATGTAAGCTATACATTTGTTGAGAAGTTTGATGGTGAAGTCTAGAGAGAATAAGGATGATCTACATATATGATATTTATTGATTTAGAAAAATCATATGATAAAATTCCAAGTGAAGTGCTATGGAGAGTTCTAGAAAAGAAAGGGATTAAGAATGCTTATTTTTAAGTCATTAAGGATATGGATTCAGGAGCTGTTACTTGTGTTCAAACACAAGGTGGTTTGATCAAGTATTTTCCTATTTCAGTGGGGTTACATAAAGGATAAGCCTTAAGCCAATATCTTTTTGCTTTCGTCATGGATGTTCTCACTAGACATTTGTAAGAGGTTGTATCATGGTCTATGCTTTTTGTTGATGATAATTTTATTATTGATAAGATTAGAGAGAGAGTTGAAGGTAAACTTGAATTATGGAGGTTAACCTGAGAGTTTAAATGTTTTCGTTTGAGTAGATCTAAACCTGAATATAAGGAGTGTAATTTTAGTAGTAATAGATCTAGTCGGGCAATTATGACTTTGGGCGATCAAGTCATTAATATGAGTAGATGTTTTAGAGATATTTGTTGACCCGTATAATACAAAAAAAAAATATAGGGGTTTGCGCCTATAGGAAACCAGAACTCAGATCATAAAGTCCTCACAAAATGAGGGCGAAATCTCTGGGTAGTGTCTTATCTACAAACCCATCTGCCTTCCAAAATTTACCTCGGAACTTAGTTCGTTAAAACTCCCTCGCCGAAAAAGAAAAGCGAGTGGAGGCCGGGGCCGAATTTTCGGAGCCCACAATATTAAGTCTATTAGTAGAATTCTAGTTGGATGGTTGAAGTGGAGGAATGCATGGGCTTGTTGTGTGATGGAAAAGCCCCCCTCAAACTTAAAGTGTAAATTCTATAAGATTGTGGTGAGACATGCAATGCTTATTGGTGCAGAATTTTGGCCATTAAAAGAGAAGCATAATATTAAGTGTTGCAAAGATAAGGATGCTCAGGTGGATGAGTGGCTTTACTCTTAGAGATAGGATATAAAATGAGCATATATGTGATAAGGTTGGAGTAGCTCCGCTGAAAGATAAGATTAGTGAGAGTCACCTTAGTTGGTTTGATAAAATAAAACGGCGGCCTGCCAATTACCCGATTAGGAAAGTAGAGATATTATATTTGACTAATGTTAAGAAAGGTAGAGTTAGACCCAAAAAGGCTTGGTTAGAAAATATTAGAAATGACATTTCTTTATTGAATTTAAATGAGAATTTGACTCTTAACATGACACAATGGAAAAAAAGGATTCATGTAACCGACCCATGTAGTAGGATAAAGGCTTGATGTTGTTGTTGCTGGTTTTGTTGTTGCACAAACTAGCTAAAAGTGTCATGCTGAAAATTTTATTTTTCAGCTTCATCATTTTTTACAGACTAGATATCCTGATGGAAAGGTGCAACAAACTTTTCGTTAATATATGTTTGATATGACTATTTCGTTAAAACATGATATCCCTCAGTATCTCTTTTGGTTTACAGCAATAATTTACTTTTCGCATGGAAAAATCAACTGTGCCATGCTCTAAAATAGGCATTAATAGCTCTGAAATGATTAAACTTGCCTAGCTTGTTCTGCCTTCCCCCTGAACTGCTGATTGTCATTTTGCTAGAGCATTTTGATGCTTAGAGACAACAAAAGTTTGTGTAGGCATTGAAAAAGGTAAGAAATGAAGAAGAGAAGAAGCTAGAAGATTCTTAAAAAGAGGGAAAAGCATGCTAAGATTCTTTTTAGTCCAATAATCATAGTTTGACTATGACATGGTCTTTAGACGTCTATATATAAGAAAAGATTCTACTAGATATGACAAATATTTAAACTTATCCGAAATTGGAACATAATTACAATGCCCATGAAAATAACTACTAGAAATAAGCTAAAAATTGAAATCCAATAATCATTCAACTTAAATATTAGAATATGATAAATAATTCATATTTGTCCCGCATCAATCCTCCCATGGTGCAAAGAAATATACAACAACAACATCAAAGCTTTATGCCACTGTGTGGGGTCGATTATATGAATTATTTTTCTCCATTATGTTATGTTAATAGTCAAATTCTCATTTAAATCTAATGAAAAAGGTCATTTCTAGTATTTTCTATATCTTTTTAGATCTACATCTACCTCTCTTAATTAGGCCTAATCTAATATATCTACTCTCCTAACTGGTTCATCAGAAGGCCGACGTTTTATATGACCAAATCTTCTAAGGTGACTCTTTGTAATCTTATCTGCCACCGGAACTACTCCAACCTTTTCACATACATATCATTTCACATTCTATCTCTAAGAGTAAAGCCACACATCCACCAGAGTATCCTCATCTCTGCAACACTTCATTTTATGCTTCTTTTTTAATGGCGCAAAGAACTGTATTTCAGAAAATTTAATTTTTGGAGGAAAAGTTGGATGATGTTCTCTATAATGTCATGGTAAAATCCATTGCTAGATGAAGCACATCCATGGCCGAATCGAATTCAAAACTGTCCAATCAATTGTATATTAAACATCATATTTATTCTAAATTTTTTGAATCAACTACATGAACTTGAAGCAATTTATTTAGAAGTAGATCTATTGGGTAGGCTGAGAAGATCAATATATGTTTATTATATTTTTGTATTTCTTTTATCCCCATGGAACATGGGTAAGATTAAGGTTTAGGTTTTAATGACTCAGGGTTTTAATATAGAAGGAGATGAAAGTGATGGAGAAGAAGAATAAGATGATTGGAAAAAGAAATCATGTTTGATGAGTGGTGGGAAAAATTGTTGTCGCCACGCAGATTTTGATTTCTCCTATTTTGTAATCGAATACTGCATTGAGAATAAAGTACAGTCTCGAGAGGCCGATATAATATTCTACAATGGATTCAATATCAGAATAGGGTTTTGAAAATTGATATTTCTATAATCAAACATAGTTCAAAGAATAACATATCATCTCAAAAGATGAACATGAAATTCTTAAGAATATGTTTAAAAATAGAAATAAGCTATTTTGAAAAATTTATTCATTCTTTTATTTAGATATAGTAAGGAGAATATTATATCATCTTGAAAGATGAACATAACATTCTTCAAGATATCTAAAAGCAAGAATGAGTTTTATAAAATTCATCATTTCTAAAGTTGAATATATCAAGTAGGAATTATATTATCTGAAAAGACAATAATAACATCCTACAAACATATTTAAGATTAGAAATAAAGTTTTTAAAGATATCTGCATTCCCAAAGATTATTCCCTTATTTTATATGAATAAAATAAGGTTTATTTTAGTCTGGGGTTCTCAAATCCCTATAGAGGCAAGCCCCTATAGTTAATTACATCATAAGAGGAATACTCTTATGAAAACTCTCGATTAAAGCAGTGATTTCATACCCTTTTGACTACAAAGTAAAAGACAATAATTAGCCCCCTTTTCTGCCCTGCACGAGTGTGGCCACCTGCAGAAAATCATATTAATAATCCAGATCGCTCCTAACCTATGGATAATCTAATCGTTTAATCAAATCACATCATAAAGTGCAGTAAAAGTAAATAGACAAACATATCAACAATTTTACATCCAACATGCAATAAAGGCCGAGAAAACCCGTCACAATGCAGTAAGGAAATAAACATCGGCCTAACCTAAAACTAGAGTCGGTTGTCCTAGCAAACAAATTTAAGTGTGTGTAGTAAGCTGTGAGGTTTTGATATGTCCTAGGTCAGTTATTGGCTAAAGTTTTCTAATTGATTGAATTTTAATTTAAAAAATAAATGTTCACTAATTCTAGAGTAAGATGTCACTAAGTTTTCTATGTTATATGTTTCTATCCTAAAGTGTGCATGCATCCTAAGTCTAGATTTTCTAAGACTCAGTCCTTAATTTTTGTCCTTAAGTTTCACTAGTGTTGTATAGGATAAAAAAATTTTGTTATCACTAACCCTTGAGACTTTACATGTGTATAAAAGGGTTTAAGGATCTAAAAATAAATAAAAGTAAACCTAATAAAATTGAAGTTACTACAGGGACCTAAAAGAGAAGGATTTGTGCAAACCACATCAAGAGTGAATGTGTAGCTGGGTCGCGAAGTCAACAGTGAGTTCTCTAATGCTGTCATTATTTACAAATTCTAGAGCGACCATTCAGTTTGGAAATTTACAATTCTCCACAGCTACTGTTAATGCTATCGCTGTACCTATTTATGGCATGACTATCCAAGGCC